TCAACAGCCTGCTTACCAGGAGGAAGAGTGGTGAGTTCCCATGTATGATTATGAGCCAGAGCTGAGAGTTCTTCTTCCATTGCACGACACCATCCTAGAGAGGCAAGGGCTTCCTGGACATCCTTAGGTATAACAACAGAGGATAACAAAGAGATAAATTGGCAATGGGAAGTGGAAAGGTGAGCCAGTGAAACATAATTAGAAATAGGATGAAGAGTACAACTGTGCTTACCTTTCCGCAAGGCAATGGGAAGATCAAGATCAGATACTGGGGTCGGGGCTGGTGTGGTAATAGCTACCGGATCTGTCGACGATGATGAAGTTGGAGGAGGTGCTGGTACATGTGGGCGATGTGTATACACGTGATGGATCGGTGGTCGTTCAACAGGTGGTGGCACCGGAGGCAAAGACTTGGTCACTGCGAGAACAAGAGGAACAGAGTCCACAACTGGAAGAGGAAGGGGAGGAGGTGATGAGGAGGAAGAAACATCACCAGACCCCAAGAAGAACGGAGTAGACTCAAAGAAAGTAATATCAGCACGTACAAAGGGACATCGAGAACTAGGGTGATAACACTTATACCCTTTTTGAGTCCGGGAATAGCCAAGGAAGATGCACTTAATAGACCGTGCATCTAACTTGTCCATTCTTGGCCCCAGATTATGAACAAAACAAACACATCCAAAAACTCGAGGAGAGAGAGGAAACGGAGACAAGGTAGGAAACAATGTGGTGAATGGGGAATGACCATCAAGGATAGACGTGGGCATCCGGTTGACCAAGAAGTAGGAAGTAAGCACGCAATCACTCCAAAAGGATTTGGGAACATTCCTGTGATGCATGAGGGACCGAGCTGTTTCCAAGAGGTGACAATTCTTTCTCTCAGCCACCCCATTTTGTTGTGGGGTGTAGGTACATGAAGTCTGATGGATAATGCCATGTTGGTCTAGGTAGTCCTGAAATGATGAAGAGAGATATTCACGACCATTATCAGAACGAAAAATTTGAATGTGAACACCAAATTGGTTGCGAAACTCAGCATAAAACTTTTGGAAAATAGTAAACAATTCACTTCTTTCTTTCATTAAATAGAGCCGCATCATCCTTGAATAATCATCAACAAAAATGACCAAATATTTATATCCATTGTATGACATCACTTTATAAGGACCCCAGACATCTGAATGAACCAAAGAAAAAGGACTCGATACACGATTATCAATTCTAGGACTAAAGGGAACACGATGATGTTTCCCCAACTAACACGACTCACAATCCAAAATAGAAAGATGACACAATGAAGGAACCAAAGACTTCAAAACTTTCAGTGAAGTGTGAGCTTAGGAGTTGTATTCGAAGTAGTAGAGAAGGGAAGAAGACTTCTGAAATGCTGTGAATGTCGAACTGAATAGCTCAGTCGACAATACTGTTATTTATATTAGAATGTAGTACAATGATACAAGGAATTA